CACTATGAACTTTTGCACCATCAATCGTTTGACTGTCAATTATTGCACAAAATAATAGTCTGAGTAAAGACTATGTATGACAGAGATAAAGGTCGTCCCACAGATTGAGAGGCTGTGGTAGTTGAAAACAGAAACACAGCCTATAAGGTGCGTGAGTGAAGTGTTAGGTGCCCATGGTGTGAAGGGGGAGAGGTATTACCTTCCTTCCTTCCTTGCTTTAATGTCCTTGTCACTCTACACTACCTGCTCAGCACTAAATGGCAGAAAGATAAAGTTAGTGACAGGCTGGTGAACGTAGCGGAGCATTCAGTAGTTAAAGAATTTCCCTTTAGGAGTCGGTGGAGACTGCCAGAGACAGGAATAAATAAAAATATTTTCTAAGAAGTTCAGCATATTAACTTAAAAGGTCAATGGCTAACAAAAAAAAATAATTCAATAACATACCATGAAAAACAAAACACCAATTAGTAAATCAGAAAAATCTGAAAAACACAAAATGTGAATAAAGTGAATATATTTAGCATTTAATAAACTCCATCCAAAAACCATTACTGACCCTAAAAAAGATGAATAGTTATGTTTTTGCTTTGCAAGTCAAGACTGAATAAAAGTGCAGATTTAATTTTTTTATAAAGGAGACAATAAAACAATCAACCTTAACATGAGTCTAAGGTCATGATGACTGCTTGACTTCTAATGAGAAACTGGTGCCACTTCAGGAACATAATAAAATATGTCAATGGTGGCTCACAGGGATTTGGCTGTATTGTGTACCTTTAACAAAATGTGACATTGAGACATTTTTCAATGCGAGGGTCAGAGGAAGAGGGCGTCATATATTGTACAGATTGTAAATCCCCAGAGGAAAGTTTGTGATTTGTGATATTGGGCTATATAAATAAAATTTAACTGAATTGATTTTTTTTTTTTTCTGCAAATTACTTAACATTCATTCTGTCCAAAGACAGTTTCAGTTATAAAACTAAAGAGGAAATGAAGCATTTAATGGCTTTTTAAGAATTGTTCAGTATTCTTTAAATGCAGTAAAATAACCAACCAATTCCCCAATAATGACCACATTAAAAGAGCTTTAAGGAACAGAAAGAAACGCTGTTGACTGCATGGACCTCCAGTAAGAATGGTAAAGTAAAAAAGTTCAGATATTTGTTTTCCTGCCAAACCTACTGCTCTTACAGCATTACACTATTTATTTCAGTGCGCAGTAACTTACTGTAACTTGCATAAGTGAAATTAAACTGAAAAGATGAATGAATAATTCATACTCGAATGAATAATTCATACTCCTCGACACAAGAAGGTAAACCAACATACAAAAAGATGAGATAATACAAGGACGTCACAGGAATAGTTAGCGGCTGAGAGTCAGATTAGAAGAACGTTAGATAAGAAGAACGATGCCACTCAACTTGAGTGTTTTTTTTGCGTATGTCTGTACGCTAAATGCGGAGCTATAGGGCCAGCAACTAGTTAGCTTAGCTTAGCATAGCGACTGGAAAGTGGGGGAAACAGCTACTCTAGTTTGTTTGTGTTAAAAAAAAGAGCTTTATATGGATTCTGTGCCACATACTCACAGTGACAGAGACTCCAGTTTATTCAGCAGTAACAGGAGTGTGTAAATAAACATGCTGCTGCTGAAGTAAACTGATTTGCATATGCAGATTATATATTTTACCACATTACTGGAGAAACATAAGATGAGAAGTGCCGCTACTTGATTAGAGTCCTTATGAGCAATATATTGAACTCTATAGCACAATAATTATCCATGAAGTGCATTTTTGCACATATATGCAATGCCATTCAAAGGCACCAATCATCGACAAGTGCATGTATCAACACTGCTGTCATGAGGCTATTTAATGGATAGAAAAGCAGTGTTATTTCCTGAGTGGCGTCATTGTTTAGTTACCTTTTCTGTGCACGAATGTTCCCGTCCTGTTGTGTGACAGGCTTTCAGTATTCTAGGTCAGCCCTCCAATGCTCCAGTGTGACTCAAGAATGATAGGGCATGTACAGGGAAGGGGCAAAAATAGCAGCTGGGCCACAGAAGCAAAAGCTTTGACAAAGCCTCGGACATGTGTGTTCCCTGACCTGAATAACCAAGAGAGTTGCGGCGCGCTCAACCAGGTAGGCCCCCGAACGTGTTTGGAAAATAACACAATTTTTCTTTTCACATCCATCGGCACTTTTCCTTTGTTGTTTGCTCCCCCCTGACTTACAGTGACAGCAATAGCAGAGCCGACACTATTTGGTCCCCTCGAAAAACAAGAGTCTCGAAAAAAGCTAATCAAACATGAATTTGTTAATTGTAATAAATCTCAGCGTTGAGATCATGTTTAATGTGCTGAAACGATTGCTAATGTGCCTCGGCCCCCTTAGCGCTCACATGAAAGTGTGAGGGCATTTGCTATTTCGTTTCCAAACATCTTTTCTGCAATGCTTGTCCAATTACTCACACCAGAGAGGTTTCTGTCCAATCGCTGTCTTCATTCCAGGCTTAAATGGAATTAGCAAAGCCGAGACCTCGTCATCATATGTTTCATTTTGTTCGCACTGTCCCATTCACCACCTGCCAAGTTACATCCCATTTTGGAGAGACTTTCAAAGAACAATGGGCACACGGCGCACACAGTGTGTCCATGATCCGTTTCACACCGTGCTCATCAACTACAATTCACTCTTTCACAATACAAGGTGCACGGGAAGTAATTACTCAGTAGAAACACATTTGTAGTCAGGGGGCAGCCACAGCGTGTTATCAGTTGAAACAGGAAAACGTACGCAGACCTCTTTGAGAGATGCCAGAGCTCTTGAGAAAAATTCATCATTTTCGTGTCATTTCAACGGAGTCGACGCCAAGCTTCACATGCACACAGTCACAGACAGACACACAGTCCTGTTTTATGCCAAAGCCTTCATGTCACAAGGTGCAGCTGAACCTCTTTCCTCCGACTTCCTAGTGTGGGAGGCATCACAATGTCATTTTTGACTCGTCATTACTTTGGCACATTGCATGTTACCGGGCTAGAGGTGTTTGTGTTCAGGCATATTGACACCACTGCAACGTCAAGCAATTTCACATCATCTTCCTGGACAATTCTGAGTTTCTCCGCCCTTTCCTCATCCGCTGGAAGAGCTTGATTCAGCGGGATGGTTGGGGCGCAAATGATCAAAATCGACTACATTCATCCTAAAGCTCAGCAGGCGGCCGAGGAGGGAGGAGGGAGGAGGGAAGAGGGAGCGGGAGGGAATGAGTCAAACGAGAGATGACAGAGAATTCAAATAGACCGAAGAAGCAAAAATCCTGAAAGAAAAAGGAAAGACTGCTGGTTTGGGTGGTGGAAGGGAAGTAAGGGGATGTCAGGCTGGGGGACTAGGGAGAGCGAGAGGAAAGCAAAGGAAGGAAGAGAGAAACGAGAGGCTGGAACTTTTCAATTACAGCACACGCAGACAACAAAGACCCAGATTTCAAGAGACTATAACAGTCTGCAGCCCGGAGGGAAAAGCTCATTTAGCCTCCTTCATTCCTCTATATCCTTTCTCCACACAAATTGCAAGTTGGAATATTTAATGCGTTCCTTTTGTTGCACAAACGCAGGCTTCTCTATTATTACAGATGTCCCGAATACCAAGATCAGCTACCTGGGGAGGCAGATCCTCCTGTTGGCACATTATAAGAATAAAACTTCCCCGTGCTTTAAATTTCAAAGTGTTTCAGTTGATTGAGACGGTCAGCAGCGCCGACGGTGACTACAGCTATTTAGGATTTGAAGATGTTATTGAACTGACTGTCTTAATTTGAGCTACAAATAGAAAAGAAAAAATGTCCCCTGGCATCCTGAGGGGCGCTTGCCAAATAAAATTAAAGCAAAAGGGAATCAATGGAAGCAGGCTATTGATTCAACCCCATCAGGGATGACAGACACTCTCCTCGCAGCCCATTTAACACAGGGAGGCCTTTGTCAATCAGGGTTTCGGTGCGAACGACAAGCATAATGACAAGACGACTTAAAAGAGCAAGACAAAGGACTCTCCTGGCAAACATAAAGTAATTGCCCAAACGTCAAACAAATTCTGGCTGTAGAATTGAGCTTTTTTCATTGTTGTAATCCCCGAAGAGCAGATACAGGAGCCTAATTAGGGATTAATCTGATGTACCTGTCGACCTCCTTCCCCAAACACGCAGCGCTTTGTCCCTGCTACCTAACCCACCATAATTTGAAGGCTTGAGGCAGATACATTTCCTCTAACGGCATTCAGCTTTCACATGGCCGAAAGATTTGTCGACTCTACGTCAAGTAGTTGTGATGTTGCTGCAAGGGAGGCAGGTGGGGAAAAAGTAATCCACATCAGCATCTGTTCCTACACCTGCCTCGCCCATCACTATACCATTTGTAATGTGAATTCGTGCTCAAATGTTTTGAGGGTTCAAAGTTTATTATTTGCAAGTAACAGATCAAATGTTTCTTTTGCATAATTATGGTTGTCGGCGTGCTTTTACACGGGGGAAACAGTTTTATGCAAATGAGGTGGCACAAATGAAGACGCACTCCTGAACTTGAATCCCATCACCCAAGAAACCTGTTCCCTGATAATGGCCTGTAATTATTCTCGCTGGTGAAACCAGCAATGTGCATGTCCTCATGTAGGTTGATGTGAGCCATTTAGTCGTGCAAGCTGCAGGCTCTGAAGCTGTGGGACAGGACAATAAAACAGGTGGGGGGAAACAACACTGGGAGATAATTAGTCTATTATCAAGCTTCTTTTAACACATTTAATGTGCCATGATTTCAGAGAGAGGAACATGCTGTGAAAGCAAATAATGAGGATGAATTATGTGAAGGTAAAGGTGAGAACCACTGATGCACCATCATCATGCTGTCCTCAAAACTTGAATCCACTCAGACTGTATATTTCGCCCTCATTATGATGCACTTGCTCGCCCTCTTGCTTTCTCCCTCGTAAAAAAAAACAAAAAAAAAAAAAAGGGGGAAGAAAAAGCTCTCTGTGTGGAAGCAGGCGCTCATTCATGCAGCTCACTCTGCGGAGGAGGGGAATAACAGCTCATACGCAACGTTTAGCGTGAATTTAGATGAATTACAGCAACTTAAAGGATCACATAGGTGCATCGATTCCGCTCAGAATGGAGACATCTACCTTTTGCATTCAGCCTCTGGAAATATCAGTGACCGCGCGGACATCCCCAAAATGAACTCCTCTGTGCTCGTGCCTCCGCTGCTGCAACTTCTCACCGAGGAGCGGGTGATTCGCGGATGCGGGAGGATCGCCTCCCGAAATAAAGTTGAGCGAGAGCAGGAATGAAGTTGGAGTAGCGCTTGAAAGAAAGGACTCCTCACGAATTAATGAACGTGTCCGGATCGCTGAACCGGAGAGGTTTTATTCGCAGCTCTCGCAAGATAGAGTTCACTTCTTCTTGAGAGCGCATCACTTGATCCCTATTGCAAAATCAGGTACGTGTACTTTCAATATAATAAAACACTTGATCATGCACTAACTCTCAAATACTCGGTTTTAAATAAGGAAATGTCCAAATTCTGTCCAAAAAAAAAAATCAGCTAGACGCACTACTTTTTCATCCCTAAAATGAAACTGTCTGCCCTCTTCCCAGTCCGGAGAGGATGAGGTGTCGCTGGGTTAAGCATGAGCTGTCAGAGAATCAGTCATAAGCGGCTGTCTCTGCTATGGGTGAGGGCGGCTCTCGGACTCTGGCTCTGCTGTTGCTGGACCTCCGGGGCCGGTGGTGCCGCGTCCGCCGCCGGACAAGACGCCGGCACCCCCGGCTCCCTGGGCTGGCTGCTGTCCGATAAAGGGCCCTTCCACCAGGCCCTGGAGTTCACGGAGGCTGCGGAGAGGTACCAACAGGGCTTCAGCACCAGATACAAGATCTACAGGTGAGACTGATGGAGAGCTCTGTAAGGTGCATGTGTTTATTGTATGTTTCAGGTTTGGGCTGTGAGTGTTTTGCAGGTTTTCACCACACATTCCACTGGATAATTTCACTGATGAGCACTCTGAGCCAGAGAGGAATTAATCAGGGAAAGCAGCTGCTGAGAGTGTTTGGAATGAAACCATGCACACTCATTGGATTGCACTCGCAGGTACCACACCTGCACCGAATTAGTTGCAAGCTGATGAGCAAATCTTAAGAACTACTGTAGCGGTGCAAAGTGTGCCCTTTGCTCCTGCCTTGAAGTATTCACACTGAGAGCTAATCAGCCATGTGAATGGCACCAGACAGTCATTTTTCCTTTCTTGGGTTTTTGCTGCAGGGTTTGACATTTGACTACAGCAGGAGTTAAACCCTGACTATGTGTGGACACTTACAGTCTTTCAGTGACTTCCTGCAGTGTCCCAGAGCTGCGCTTCACTGCTGCTGCCTTTGTCTGACATTCCTCACAAGTGTTCATAAAACGATATACCTCTTTCTTTGTTAGAACTAGATGGCCAAAAAATGTTGATAAATGTGTTTACATGCAGTTATTATGCAAATGCAATGATTGGAATGAGTTGTATTCGTAATTACATATTTTTGTGTTTATGATTTTGTCAAAAGGCTGTTGATATTTTGTCTGTAAAATAGGGTTGATATATTTAGAGGCTTTTATCTTGCTGAGAAGAAGACATCCTCGTAAAGTCTCCTCTTGTGTTTATTGGTGCGGTTTTCATTATACTTAGTATTTAGGTGCCTTATCAATGCCTCAATGCCTCAACGTTTCTTTTTCTGAAAAGACGCTTCATGGTCCGCATCGACCATAGGTGCATGAATCAACTGGTCCGTTATCTCCTCTCAGGAATCTTTTAGGCTGTGGTGTTTATCGCTCAGTGACAGCTGCATTTTTTTTTCAATAGGCCTGCTGCACAAATGTCCCAATAGTCCCCTGACTTGAGACTTCTTCTTTTCCAAAACGTTAGTAAAAATGATTGACAAAGGAGCAGACAGCTCGGACCGTCAAAGGCAGCCCACCATCTGCTGGCTGACGTCTCACCGCTCGAGGGTCTTTTACCCTGAAGCGGTCGATCCTGCCACCCCTAAGGTGCCGGCTCACATTTCTAACCCAAGGGCTCTTTTAAGGATTAGGGATTAAGGATTTAGAGGAAGAATCCAAAATGAGGCCCAACTTTTGTTAAAAAAAAAAACTCCAGTAACAAGGTGATAACTGACAGGAGAGTCTATTTGAAGCAGTTTCTAGTTAATTTGCCTGTTTTGGACTATAATGTCTCGTAGAGGTGAAAATAATAAATTGTGGAAACACAAAAGGCATTTATTCTTAGAAATGTGTAAGACTTATTTTCCATTCCACACAGAGTTGCAGATGTTCAGTATTATTATATGTGCTCTTAAATATAGGCTAAACTGCTATATTGCCCCACTGACCTCTGTAATAACTGAACCAGAACAGCTGTCAATCATGCAGCAGCATTTAAACTGTTGATTTGCTCCTCACTGCCTCTTTTACAGCGTTTTCCCTCCAAGGACTTCCTTTCATCACTATTGATTAATTACAGTACATACAGTAAGCATCCATTTAGATTGCTGAGTACGTTCCTACAGCAAACACCCCTCAGTTTGCCCGTATGTGCATGCTGATGGAATAGCTTTAGGCTAAAGCCTGGGCTGGAACCACAACGCCCATCTGTCCACCAGGGACGGACTCTCAGCCTGTCCCCTCGTTATGATGATTGGCTGTAATGACACACTCCACACTGTCCCGGTTCCCCAATTATTTCGCTGCCGATCATTTTTCTTGTGGCAGTGATTTGATTGCCTCCCAGAAGGAGAGGGAGGTACACAGAGCAGCAGGCATTACGGTGGGGAGAGGTAGACATTAACTGATGCTGTGGAGGGAGGGAGAAACAGAGAGAGAGAGGAGCAGCCATATCTCCCAGACGGTTTGTGAATAGCTAGCGTTCATCGAGACTTGTGACCAAAAGGCACAAGATAACAAATGATGGCAGCTGATAATGTGGGAATTTATTTGGGTGTTACGTCTTTCTGTTGCTGTGGGAAATGCAGCGCTGCATGTCAATAGGTTCTGTTTTATCCGTGCAGTTGTTATTTAAAGCTGTGACAAGCTTGTTCAGACAACAGTGACAGATAACGATTCCCAACCAACATGGAAATATTGTGGAGTAGCTCAGCTAATTTGAAAAAGATGACATTCCCATTTACCAAATAACCTTCTAGCTATGACAGGCGGACTGCACAGGACATGTTTCCGTCCAACCTGAGGAAGTTTCAACAACTGGACACCAATAGTCTTATTTGAATATAGCAGGTCTTTAAAAAAACAGTTTGACATTTTGGAAAATGCCCTCATTCGCTTTCTAGTTCAAATTAATACCATTATCGTATCAGTGTGATAAATATTCAGCTTCAATCTTAACTTAACCAGCACCTCTAAAGCTCATTAAGTAACATGTTGTGAGTGGTTTCTTTAATCCATAAAAAAAGAAGCAAATGCTAAGCTAACAAGCTAAGCGGCTTCGAGCAGTAGCTTCATATTTATCGTACGGACATGAGTGTCTGGATGATATCAATCTACACATGTAACTCTCTGCAAGAAAGCAAATAAGTGTTTTTCCAAAATTCTCCTTAAGGGAATTCCTCTGAAAATCAACAGCTGATTATAAACTCAACACAACAGTTTTATTTCCCAACATTGTTTTTTCAAAGCCTCTCTATGTTGCCAGAAAAAAAAATAGTGGAATACTGCATCCTGGTAGAAAAGTACTGTTATGAGCCTAAAGAAGGCTTTAACTGAATAATGTAAAACCCCTTCCAGGTAGCTATAAAACCCCCAACGTTTCTGACAAAGTAGCAGGGACATGACCTCAGTGTTCTCAACAGCAGCTACAGCCATGGCTACCATTAAGAGTGCGTCAAAACTAGTTATCAAATGGAAAGGTAAAAGTGATGGATAAATGGTTGATGTGTTGAGCTTCTGCTCCGAGTGGTAGTAGTATGAAGGCAAACTTGGCTGAAGCCAGTGATATAGAACAAACGTCAAGCCTAAACATCAACAATCCACTTTTACACTGTATCAATCAAAGGGTTAAATAGCTTTCCATTGAAATTGCCCCAATAAACTCCGTGACTGCCAGGGGAAAAAGTGCAAGTAAAGATGTGACAATGGATAAATAATGAACCAATATTAACCTAAAGCCAACACAAAAAAAAATACAAGCAGGAAGTTAAAAGTAGTTTTCTGATAGATTAGAGAAATATTATCAGAGCTTCCAAGAGGATGCATCACATCGTGTGATAATGAAGTATGTGCATGAGTGTGCGGTCAGTACTGTACAGTACTATATACATATAGTCTGTCAGAGTATGTAACACACATTCACCGAAGCCTTTTTTTTCCTACACAGCTTGTTAAACAGCCGCCTGGGGCGCCACTAAAGGCCTAAACTAAGCGACCAAATGTCTCTGTGCATTTATGTGTGTGTGTTGTTGTGTCTCCAGGGAGTTTGGTCGATGGAAGGTCAACAGCCTGGCGGTGGAGAAGAGGAACGGTTTAGGTGGCAGTGGTGGCCTGGCTCTGCCCCTCGACCCCGACTTCACGCACACCATCCGCCAGCTGGGGAGGCGGCCAACCCTCCAGACGATTACAGAGAGTCTAATCAAGAAATATGGCACTCACCTGCTCCTCTCTGCCACTCTGGGAGGTACAGTGGAGTACGCGGAGCTTCAAAGCAAGACTGATTCACACAGCTTCAAATGTGATTTTGTTTTCTCAGCACACGGGGCACCGATTTTAACGTCTGCTGCTTTCTCAACAACAAAGCATATAATAATTTTTCTGGATCAGTGTCTTTTGGCTCACAAAAAATCTAATCACTGTGGTTTAGTGTACAAGAAATCATTTGGAGAAGGCAGCGACAGGCAGATTCAATATTTCTGTTTGGCTGTCAAAATAGGATGTTTCCCTAAATGGAGCTTCAACACTATCGTTTGTATGAAATTGGCTTTTCTTTTCTTTCTCTAATAAATCACTATAAGTAATTATACTTTATCAATAGAAAGTTGGGTTTGAAAGGTTTCTGCTGTAAAAAAGAAAAAAAGACAGATTTGAAGGAGCTATCCAAATGCAAATTTAGTTGGAAACAGCTACTGGCGAACCTTGAAAACTAAGATTATTTTGATGTTCAGTGCGCTTTTATCTTGTTCCCATTAATACAGTAACTGGCCAAACATCCGTACAGGAAACATACGGCTTGGATTCAAAAATCTTTCAGGCAGAAATACATCTTAAAAAAGACAAAGATACAATCGCCTCCACTGACAGTGGACTCAGCAGATCGCAATACAACACAGGAATGTTTCCCCTGGAACAGCTCCCGATACAAGACAGTCACACTTTGACCGACGTAGCTGATGTTGTAGATGGTAAAGCTCCACTGCAAGCAAAACAGTCAATTCATGTTTTGGGGGGTTTGATATTTAACTCGGACGGACCGCTGTTCCTATCAGATTTACACTGATAAACAATGTCATCCTGCCGGTAGAGGCATTGGATCAGAATGGCGTTTCGTGCGAATATTTTCAGATTTGTCGCTGTTATGATCAAGGTTTGATTTGGTTTTTGCTCCAAAACTACTCGGTGTAGGATAGAAAACCGTGGTGGTCGTGATTTAAAAAAGACAAAAACAATGTTGAAACAAACGGCACTGTACTGTCCACTGTGCAAAAGTCATCGATGTTTACTTTTAACCAAGACCATGATTCCACGCACGCAATTTTGATGACTTAAATATTAATTCTTGTGGTCAAACAGGGATCATTAGTAAGATAATTAAGGCTCTTCCCTGGCAGAAGTTTTGCTGATTAAAAAAAAATCCCAATTTAAGGAAAACCAGAAATCTTTGGCTGATTGACAGCTTTTTGCAACAAAATGTCTGGAAGTGGGCATTACTATTTACTTTACTAAAGTAAAGTAAGTACTATGTACTTACTTTATATCCTTCTACAAATGCACCTTATATGAAGTGATGCTCTGTAAGTGTGGCGAGGGACGATTAATACCTGTATCGACAAAATGGACTGGAAATGCTGTAAGAGTTATGAAAGGATTTAATCCTGCCTAGGTTTGCTAAAGTGTTCCCGGTGTTCACACTGGGTGCTCTTTTACTCATTCAAACTGCACTCAACATTCATTTAAATAAGAGCCGAGACATTGGCTGTATTTCCCTGGTAACTCTGATAACCAGCCCTTTAGACAAAATAATTGGGTTTATTAATGTTTGCTATATAGGTCAGTGTGGACACAGCGTGCTATTGATTTTACCTGCAATGAAATGTAATAACTCACAGCTGAATGTAGCAATTTCATAGAATTTCTCTGGGGCACAGACACTGAAAGATATATTGAGAAATGTGGGGAAATCAACTATTTCAATAGAAACACGGTAGATGAGGCAGTTTGAGTAAAAATGTCAAAAACAACATCATTTATCACAAAGAGTCCAGTGGCCAGATGCATCATGCTCAAACTGTGTTCTCACAAAGACACACATGTGCATATGCATTCCTTTCATCTGATTTATAAAGCCCGATTCTTTTTTATAGATGTCAATTGTTGTGGAATTGGGCACATAGGCCTCATTTCCAGTCCCACAGTTGGCCATAACTGGATGTGGAAACGCCCTAAAACATCGATTTGTCTATCAATAGTGCCCGCCTCCACCACTCGTTAGACCTGTCAATGAGAAGGTTGGCAAAGAAGCCGTGCAGTTTCACCAATTGTGACACATCGGTGAAGTTCTCCAACAGCACCACAGCAGCTGTCATTACGCACAGCTATAGCTATTTGTAGTGCCCATCCTAATTCAACACATGGACCTGTAAACCTCCTCCATCGTTATTATTAAACGTCAGATAGATGACCAATGATTTATTTATAGAGCTCTTATTGAAACAGACTTTACAAAGAGCTTCACAATTCAGGATACAATTGAAAGATCATTACCAGTGAAATAATGACTCAAATGTAAATCAAAATAATGACAAAATTCATCAATAATACAATCAGTGAAACAACCTCAACAACTATCACCTTGTATTTCACATCCACCTTATAACATAGCCATCTCTTGAAGGCTGTGTGTCTTTTGTGTGTTCGTACGTATTGTTTAGACATCTGGTCCCTGCATTTCAAAAATACTGTTGGTGTGAAAAGACGTATCGAGTCGGCTGTGGTAGCTTGGTTTTCCTGGCTTCTTATTATACGCATGTAAAAATTGTAATTGTTAGAGATTTTTCAAAATATTGAATGTACTTGTCTCCCAGAGAAGACCTGAGATCTGTTGTATTTCTAACGTCATTTTTAATACTGTAATTAACATAATTAGAACAATTAGGGTAGGTTGATTAATGATCTTGGATAAGCTCTCGGTTCCTGAGGAGTTTAACAGATGCAGAGACCTTGTCTGTACTTTTTCCACCAATCATCCAAACTATCAGTTCCACCACAGCACTTAATCACTACTGCGCTTTTCTATCGGATCTGAAAAGATACTAATGAAAGGTGATTAGCGCTGCTCTGTCAGAGCTAATGAAGCTCTCCTTCCCTCTGCCTGACTATCACCAGGGGAGGAGTCTTTGACAATCTTTGTGGACAAAAGGAAGCTCAGCCAAGAGTCTTCGCCTGTGGGTGCCGATGGCAGCCGTGGCACCAGCAGGAACTCAAACACTACGGGGACGGTGACCCTGGAGGCCCTCCACCAGCTGGCTGCCTCCTACTTCACCAACAGAGAGAGCACTCTCCGCAGGCTGCACCACCTACAGATTGCATCCACCGCCATTCGGGTATGTGGAAGTCAAGTAAAACTCGAAAATAATGTTTATAGATGAAACACTGTGCATGCAGTCACTGCCTACAGGCAGCTGTGTAGCTTCCCCAGCTTGGCGTTTGTTAGCCCCCAGCATGTACACGTGGGAGCAGCAAGATATAAAGCATCGAGGTGGACCGGCTTGGTTTTGGGTTCAGTTACTGAATATGTTTGAATGCATTATTCCGTCGTCAGGAGAGCAATATTATCTCAGTCGATCAATAAATAAACACATACATTTGAAGTATAATGATATTAACATTAACTTTAAATGTACATACTGTAAGTAAATGTGACATATTTTTGCAACAAAGTGTACTTAAAAAAAAGCATTACCTGCTAAAATCTTGTTTTTTGCTGACCTTCGGTGGTTTGACTTCTTATCCTGCTGAAGTGATGTAGAAGTGTACTCCAGGGAGAGTCGGTACTCAGTGACGTCACTGCTGGGTGTGGTTACAGGTGCAACAGACTCGAAATTTCAACAAGAGAGGGAAGTTAAATACAATTTTTCCGTGTGACGTTAAGTTACTCTTTCAAGCATCAAAGGAACTCATTATGCAGACTGATCCCCGAACAATGTTATCTTTTTTTATGTGTCAAGAATGAATGTCTGTCTGTCGGTTGGCAGTGGCCACTAATGATAACACAGCTGAGTGCATCTACGACGCCCAGCTTCTGCCTTGCGCCCAGAGACACAGTTGGGGGCATAACAGTTTGCACACTGTTATTGTTTTGGACGGTGTGGTTGGCTTGGGGCTAACAGCTAACGATGCACACTCTGCTGTACCTCGCTACCACTCAGCTGCTGTTATACGGCCAGGCAGCTTGGAGAGTTTACCTTTCATGATGGCACGACTGTATAAAGTGCAATATACAATTACTTCAGGCCCATTACTTTTACACCGTCGCTTGTTTTTGAGTTTGAATGAAGTCTGTTTGACGGCACTTCACAGCACTCGTTGCATTCATTCAATCACACAGTACAGCGGTGGTTGTTGCAGAATGACTTGGCAGTGATCTGCACTCTACTGAGTGCACTTGTCTAGTCTTATTATTGGATCTGTGTAGTTGATGCATTGACATGGTAATTGGTTGAGGTGGAGTTCATTTAAAAAGCTTTTCTATTCTCGTTGGTAGTTTCAGCTGAAAGAAGGATTTATATTTTACAAACAGATCATATGGATTGTGTGTAAAATCTTAATATGAAAAGTAATTAGTAACTTGGTATGTGTTGAAATGGGTTAATTGTGCATTCCTCTGATGTATGTTTTTAAATATTTCTATCTATTTCATCTCCTTGGTAAAGTATCATTGGGTTTCTTGAAAAGCGCTTCCTAAATAAAATGTATTTTTATTATTATTATTAAAATAAATGTAATCAAGCTAACATACAACATTTCTCTCAGACAGAGGAAAAAAGATAAAGCAGCCAAACCGAAAATACTTAAGTTAAGTACAAGTACCTCAAAATTGTATTCTAAGTTCAGTACTTTGCACCACTAACTGAGATTTAGTCACAAAATGTGTGTAGAGCAGTTTAAGTTCATGACACTTTGCAGATAAAGTGCACCAACAAACTTTAATTCCCACTTAGGGAATTTACTCCATAACTTTTTTTAATCAGGTAGGATTAAGAACAAATGCTTATTTACAGAATTGCCCTGACACCAGCACATTCACCTGTTGTAGCTGCAGGGCTGCAGCGAATCTCTCTCTCCTGTTTCTCGCTCTTTGGCGTGAAGTTTATCGTCACATAAATGTGTGCCGAAGGAACTGGGGTGACCTTATTTGCATCAGACTCTGATGAAGGAATTTTGAAAACTTTTTTGTAAGATGGTCAAACGTGTCTGTGCTAATCACCCATTACAGACTAATTGACTGTTTTAAGGCAGTGGAAAACAATATAAAAAAAATACAAGGTCTCACAGCCTCCCCGGTATGAGGCTTTAAAGAGGAGAGAACAGCAGCAGCGGTGCGTCCTGCACTATAAAACACCAATCATCCATTTTATCATCTGAAGTGGCCATTAGAGTCTACACATTAATCAGCCTGAGGGGCAAACATAGATGCTAAAGTGAGTAGCCACTGATGAAGACAAGCTGCCCCCCGCCCCTCCAAACTGAGAACATGTACCTTCAGTTATGCATCAGCTTGATGGATTAGAAATATTATTCCATTAATTTCCAGCCAGGCTTACTTCCATTCATTTGCCACTTTGCAGTGTGTGTGGAGTTCAGGCAGATTGAAGATCATTTCCAGAGAAAGAGAGCGAGAGAGGGAGATGAAAACCACATTTTATGAGGAATGTAAAGCAGCACCTGCGATAAGATGGTCATTCATTAAAATTACACACGGTATTGAGGGCTCAGGCAGAAATAGGACACATCCTGAGCATAAACTTATGCTAATATGCAGTAAGTTATGTGTTTTTCTGTTTCAGCGTGTCGGAATTTCGAAGTTCAACATCAAGATTAATTACTGTTAGAAATAAGGAGGAAAGTGAATCAGTCTAAAGTTTTTACAGTCAGAGGGAAGTTGATATCTTCTCTCAGATCAGAGCAAACTATTCCGTCGTAGATAGCTTTCTAATTGAAGACCTTTTCAATATTACTTCAGTGACTCATTGCAGTCAAAATTCATTTTAGGCATGAAATGCCTTTGATGGTATTTTTCATGTTCTTTTGGCTTTCTTTATTTGGAAATACACAAGTAAGATGAGTCAATACGTACAGGTCCTTCTGAAAGTGACTAATGACTGCCCCACACCGAATAAACAAAGAAGAAGGGGGGGGTGGAAATGACAAAAGAAAATAATAAATCACATTCTCAAAAATGTCTTGCAGGTGACAGAAACCAGAACTGGGCCGCTTGGATGCAGCAACTATGACAATCTGGACACAGTCAGCTCCGTACTGGTTCACAGTCCAGAAAACAAGGTTCAGCTACAAGGTAAAAATCTGTTCAAAATGTTTTTTTGAACAATCAACTAAAAATGTTTTGGTATTAACCTCTATAGCAAGTCATGACAAATTTGACTTGTAGCGGATGTAGCGTGACTTTGCTTTGAAGCCGGAAAACATCACAAGGTCGAGGTGGACGGACACGTCAACAAAGCGTGTAACTTTGAGGCAAGCAGCCACTGTTTGTTTCTGGTTTCTATACCAACAGTTGTTTTCTTCTAGCAGTCATGTCTATGAATCATGTTTTCAAGCATCATTTGTAACAGTTTTTGAAAGGCATTGACAAACAATGTCATTCTGCCGACAGAGACATTAGATCAGAATTACTTTTTGTGACTATGTTCTGATCCGTCACCGTTATGATCAAGGTTTGGTTTGGTTTGGTTTAGGTTCTCTTAGTAAAGTAGGAAACAGTGGTGGTCATGATTTAAAAAACGAAACAATGTTGATTGTCCGTATAGAAACAGGAAACACACAGCACTCTCCTGTGTCCAAGTCACACACCTTTTATTCAACCCAAGGTCGACGTTGTTTTCTTTTAGTATCAATCATTCTTTTCATATGGATCATTTCTGTAAGCGTACATATGTAACAGTTGTTAAAAAGGCACTGACAACAGACGCCATAGATCGGAAAGCGCTCGTGTCACTTTGGAAAGCCAGTTAGTTTGGAGAACTCGTGCACCTTTCATAATGTCATACCATCTGGCAATCTGGCTTATATATTTATTCTTTTGGTCAAACAGGGAAGATTTGGATGAAGAAGACATCAGCAGTAGCCTTATATTTCCCGAACAGATATGAACGTGATATTGATCATCTAATCTAACTCTCAGCAAGAAAGTGAATAGGTGCATTTCCCAGAAATTGAAACTATTGCTTAAAATGATAAATACGGCTTTATTCTAGATTTTTGTTACTGTCTACAAATCCCATCAAACAGCCAAAACCAACAATGCGCTATTCCTTTTCTCAGTTCAATCCAATTTCCTGAACCTGAGGCATTCAGCTCCAAGCCCATTGTTTACTGCTCAAGGCATAGATTTAATAAAAGCGGGTCACAAATATACGTTTCTTTCTTTCTTCTTTTTTTTACAAAATGGAAATGAATTTCTGAAGAAGCTGGGCGCTGTGGTTTTTAGTAAACAGTACTCAAACAGGAACAAACAGCGTGTTTGTATCAGACTATTTTATGCCGAGGACTATTACATATTTGGTGCATTGGTGAGTATTTCTGGCAGCACAACAGGAGTGTGTGGGGGAGTCAAAATAAACTACAGTGTGTGTGTGTGTGTGTGTGTGTGTGTGTGTGTTCATGGTAATTACACTACATTTTACCCAGTGCAATGATGATGTTTTAAATAACCTAAAGACTAAGTGCACTTAAACATGTTTTTTAAGATATACACTAAATTATATGACTGCACTGAGATGAAACACATCATTGATGCTGTTAATATTTACATTTCTTACCAAATCAATTAAAAAAATCTGCATTTCGTTGTTGAAAATGGCTCAAAACGTCATTCATCTACTGTTTGAAATCAGCCTTAATATTGCAAGGCCAATTCTGAGAAACACTCTACTGTTTGGGACTAATCATGAAATGAAAGAATATCAACGCCCTTTAATCGGAGTCTCATTTATGGTCTGATAAACAGTAAATCCATCACATTCAGTGCCCTATCTTTATTTTCCAAGCTACAGTAGCTGTCATGTTTGTCAACGCTGCATCAAGTCTTTTGTCATATGAAAGTGGGTGTGGTTTCATCTCTCAGCCCCTTACTTTTTAGCATTTTTCTAAATGATGCAGTGGGTGGACTTATGCTCAGACCTGGGGGTGAAGTTACACTTTAAAGATTTAATGGAGGTCTATGGCAGGGGTTGAGGTACATCAGGCTTTGGCTGCACAGACAATGCTTTAGTAGGATCAATTCATATTGGGTTTTGTTCTTTTCCTAGACTTTACTGGCAATAACGAAGATATAGACTATCAGCAACTTTGTCTAATTTCATTGTCTATCTGCCCTTGTTTGAATGTGTTTCATTTTTATTATTTGGAAAAAAATAATTATCTCTAGTAAGAAAAGTGCTGTGTAAATAAAATTATTATTATTTTTATCATTATAACAATTTGCCATCATTTATTTCCATGTGACCTCAGCCCATCGTCATCGAGTCTTGTACCTTCCACAGGGCTGCAGGTCATCCTCCCAGGCTACTTGCAGAGCCGCTTCATTCAGGCGGCTCTCAACTATGTCGGCTGTAAATCTGAGGGCCACTTTGTGTGCCGGAGCAGCGACTGCTGGTGTGAGTGCAGCGTGGACTTCCCTCTGTGTAACTGTCCTCTCTCTGACCTCGGAACCCTGGAAAGCAACCTGATGCGCATCAGAGACACCTGGAGGCTGACAAACCAGGAGTTTAAAGAATCCGGTAAGTCAGGGAATTTAATTCACTATGACGCACCAGAACAGGACTTGAAAATGTCAGCTTGAATGGCGCTTTCAAAGAACTCACGGGTTGAACATGGGCTTTTGAAACTCTCAGAATGCTGTTCTTTTGGGATACAGGTTATTTTTCACTACATTTAAACTTCAAAATAAAAGCTAACATGAACAAAAACACATGTCTTGCTGTTGTTCTAAATGCATTCTTGGCTGTCAAAGACTGCCAGCTGCTGAATCAAGAGACCTGTCACTCATTGTGTCAAATCAAATGATGCTTCCGGTCCTCTTTAGGTGCTCAGGGCTGAAGTGTGTGAAAATACGCAGGTCTTTCAAAAAGCCTGTTCTCAGAGTGCTGTGAAGAATCACATAAGGTGTAATGACCTTTAAGGATTGTTTTCTTGATGAGGAGATCAATACCTCTTCTCATACCTACTGTAAATATCAAACACATGAAATCGTGTTTGTTTAATCTGTGCGAAGTGTAAAAATAGCTCAGAAGATAACTTCAAATAAACCCACCCTTATGTTGTTTAAACACAACGAGATATAGCGTGTTCATTAGTGAGCTGTAGAGGTGCTGCCTGTTTCCAGTCTTTATGCTAAGCTATTCTAAACAACTGGTAGCTGTAGCTTCATATTTACCGTGTAGATATAAGCGTGGTATCAATCTTTTCTTACTCTCGGGAAGATTGTTTTCGAAAATGTCAAATACTTTTCGTAAAGTCAATCATTTAAAGCTCTCACAATGGAAAAAAAGACAAATCCAAATAAAAAGGTAACTAACATACAAAAAGTGTACAAAATTAATTAAGGTTATGAAATCATAACACTAAATAAGTTGTACTACTTTGTTGAATTAACTGCTGCAGTTAGAGCACTACTGACCTTATTGTCATGGCCGGTGAACGTGAACACTGTGGAGCTCCGTCATTGATTGTGTGACATTGATTGAAAGGCCTCCTGTATCAGAGCACGCTGACTGTATTTTCCTGATTTACGGCTCCTGTAGTAATTTTCCTGAGCTCTGTGCACATGAAAAAGTATCTACACACACAAATTAACCAACTATACACAAAGCCTGGCTGGCAATCAAACACCTACTGAACATTTGTACTATTGTACTCATTTCTAGACAGTGCTATAATTACTATAAACACACCCGACCGGAAGATTAGCAGCAAGTAGCAATTTACCCGGACCTCTGATCGATTGTTTCGTGGCACAAATCAGGAGAAAGGACCTGCTGATAGAGGCCGAGTTTATACGACGATGCTATTATCGATGTTTGAGGAATGTGACAGAAACTTTACTCCTGCATCAGAAAATGTCAAGGAACTTTTCAGACTCGCGTCATTTTTGTGTACTGTTTGACACCATGTGTGATTTAAGTTACAGTAGCAACCCACCCTACTTTCACATTGTTGAAGGCAAAAGCTGCAATTTTGCTTTCAGCGTCACTCATTTCTAATTAGAGACTAGTTGCTTTGAAGGTGTACTACAGTGCTCTATGCTGGCAATAGGTGGTGAACATGTATCCTCTCGCTGAAACGAAATATGAAAGGAGTTTGTTGCCTGACATGCTCATGAAATCAGCATTCCCTTCCTCTGAAGAAAATCTAAATAACAAAACATGCTTTCTTGGCATGTTGCAGCTGGTGTTGCTCCTCTTGAGCTGTTTGCTTTTCTGGGACAAACAATGAAAAGGAGACAGTTGGGTTTTTTTCAGGGATAGTGTTACCCTGCGGCTCGTCGCCACAGGCAGAGGTTATTTATTCATGTTCTTTCTTTCCTACCAGAGGAGTTCCAAAGCTTTGTTGAGAAACTGCCAACCCATTACGCTGTAAACACATCTGTCGTGGAACACATGTGGGGGACGGATGCCAGCGTGCTCCAGCGCTACAGGCAGCTGGAGACCAGTGGCAACCAGCTTTTCGCTAAAGCCCGCCGCACCGTTAACAAGCTCTTCAGCCTCAGCAAGAGGTGCCGAAAAAAGCCGAAGATAATCCTACAGAGGACGAGGTAAGAGGCAAGACGAGAACAAGAGAGGGGACTATTTATACCGCTGCCTGTTAACCCAAGGTGCTCCCCAAAACTTATAATTATGAAAATGATTTATGCGCTAGGCGCTTGGAGAGAGCAGCAGAGCAGGACGGTACTTATTAGAAGGCACTTGAGGAACAGTAGTTGTGGAGTGATGTGAAAAAGTGCTGACAGGAGCAAAGCTGCTCCTCTGTTCCACCGGGGGGAGAGACAAAACAAACGGCATCATGTTTGGACAAACAGACAACTTTCACTGTTTGAGGTTTGAACTGCATTACAATCAATACAGCATTTTAAAATGTCTCATATAATAATCCATTTGTTTTAATGGAATCACATCCTAGAATCTAAGCTGCTGTGGCCAGTAATACATGACGACTTTGGTTATATTTATCACTGTATTGTTTTTACTATAACAGCTGCTGTTTCAGCAGCAGTCCCACCTGGATAATCTATTTCTGCAGCCTATCGGAGACCGATGTGGTCATAACTTCACTCCGATTTATTCCTCTCTCATGCACACTCTATGTTTATAGCTATTTCTGGCAGGGAAATTAACTAAATGACACAATCCATCAGCTCACTTGTCAAATGCAGGCACTGCCTCCTCAGTCCACAGTCCAATTACACATCTTTATCACAAGCCTTCTACTTGTAAAAAAAGAATACAATAGTGGTTTATAGTCACTGGGTAAGTCTGTTTTTTGTGTCCATTTGAAACTGAATATACAGTGGGTATGGAAAGTATTCAGACCCCTTTAAATTTTTCACTCTTTGTTTCATTGCAGCCATTTGCTAAAATCAAAAAATTTTCATTTTATTTCTCATTAATGTACACTCAGCACCCCATCTTGACAGAAAAAAACAGAAATGTAGAAATTTTTGCAAATTTATTAAAAAAGAAAAACTGAAATATCACATGGTCATAAGTATTCAGACCCTTTGCTGTGACACTCATATTTAACTCACATGCTGTCCATTTCTTCTGATCCTCCTTGAGATGGTTCTACTCCTTCATTGGAGTCCAGCTGTGTTTAATTAAACTGATTGGACTTGATTAGGAAAGGCACACACCTGTCTATATAAGACCTTACAGCTCACAGTGCATGTCAGAGCAAATGAGAATCATGAGGTCGAAGAAACTGCCCAAGGAGCTCAGAGACAGAATTGTGGCAAGGCACAGATCTGGCCAAGGTTACAAAAGAATTTCTGCAGCACTCAAGGTTCCTAAGAGCACAGTGGCCTCCATAATCCTTAAATGGAAGAAGTTTGGGACGACCAGAACTCTTCCTAGACCTGGCCGTCCAGCCAAACTGAGCAATCGTGGAAGAAGAGCCTTGGTGAGAGAGGTAAAGAAGAACCCAAAGATCACTGTGGCTGAGCTCCAGAGATGCAGTAGGGAGATGGGAGAAAGTTCCACAAAGTCAACTATCACTGCAGCCCTCCACCAGTCGGGGCTTTATGGCAGAGTGGCCCGACGGAAGCCTCTCCTCAGTGCAAGACATATGAAAGCCGGCATAGAGTTTGCCAAAAAACACATGAAGGACTCCCAGACTATGAGAAATAAGATTCTCTGGTCTGATGAGACCAAGATTGAACTTTTTGGCGTTAATTCTAAGCGGTATGTGTGGAGAAAACCAGGCACTGCTCATCACCTGCCCAATACAATCCCAACAGTGAAAAACATGGTGGTGGCAGCATCATGCTATGGGGGTGTTTTTCAGCTGCAGGGACAGGACGACTGGTTGCAATTGAAGGAAAGATGAATGCGGCCAAGTACAGAGATATCCTGGAAGAAAACCTCTTCCAGAGTGCTCTGGACCTCAGACTGGGCCGAAGGTTTACCTTCCAACAAGACAATGACCCTAAGCACACAGCTAAAATAACAAAGGAGTGGCTTCGGAACAACTCTGTGACCATTCTTGACTGGCCCAGCCAGAGCCCTGACCTAAACCCAATTGAGCATCTCTGGAGAGACCTGAAAATGGCTGTCCACCAACGTTCACCATCCAACCTGACGGAACTGGAGAGGATCTGCAAGGAAGAATGGCAGAGGATCCCCAAATCCAGGTGTGAAAAACTTGTTGCATCATTCCCAAGAAGACTCATGGCTGTACTAGCTCAAAAGGGTGCTTCTACTCAATACTGAGCAAAGGGTCTGAATACTTATGACCATGTGATATTTCAGTTTTTCTTTTTTAATAAATTTGCAAAAATTTCTACATTTCTGTTTTTTCTGTCAAGATGGGGTGCTGAGTGTACATTAATGAGAAATAAAATGAACTTTTTTGATTTTAGCAAATGGCTGCAATGAAACAGAGTGAAAAATTTAAAGGGGTCTGAATACTTTCCGTACCCACTGTATGTGTGTTTTATTTATTTGCTTTTCACATTGTAATTGTATTTTAATAGCATAGTCACTGTGCAGTAAAAGCAGTATAAACGTGAGACTAAAAAGCCACTAAACAAAAGAGTATGTATAGTGTGTGTATGTATGTATGCATATGTGCATTTGTTAGTATGTTGTGTCATCACCACCCATCTGCAACACAGCAGGGAAATTCAATACGTTTAAATATTCATTTTGATCAGATTCTGCTTCTGGAACTCCAGCCGAGTTTGGCTGAAATTGTTTTTGCTGCACATTAAAAATCACATTTCCTTCATCCCATTATCACAGAAAACATGAAAAAGACTCAAAGTAACAAAATATGAATGAGATGTTCTGTGTTTAACCCAACTGTCGTCCCTTTCCTCAGGCCTCTGCATTTCTGGTTGAGCTACGCCCTCTCCATTTTATACTGCAGTGAGAACAATCAGGTTGGTGTTTATAGTGACGAGAACCGCAGCTGCTCCTGCCCCTACAACCATCCGCCTTGCCAGGGCCTCATTCCCTGCTCTGTGGGCGACGGTGCCCGCTGCGTCTCCTGCTCCACGGAGAACAGGACACGCTGCGCCAGCTGTAACCTTGGCTTCACCCTCACCCAGGGAGCCTGCCGGCCCGCCGTGCCCGACCCTACGGACCCCTACCTGGGCTTGGAGAGTGACCGAGACCTGCAGGATCTGGAGCTGCGCTACCTGCTCCAGCGGCGTGACCCCCGCATCGCTCTGCACGGTGTGTTTGTGAGCAATGACGTGCGCGTTAACACTTGGTTTGACCCGTCCTGGAGGAAAAGGATGCTGCTCACCCTCAAGAGCAACCGGGTGAAGTCCAACCGCATTCATATGCTCCTCGGACTTGCAGTCCAGTTTTGCCTCACCAGAAACAGCACTCTGGAGCCGGCGTTATCTCTGTTCGTGAATCCCTTCGGGGGCAGCCATTCAGAGAGCTGGACCATGCCTATAGGTCAGCACGGATACCCTGACTGGGAGCGAACCAAGCTGGATATCCCTTTGGACTGCTATAATTGGACTTTAACTCTAGGAAACAGATGGAAGAGTTTTTTTGAGACAGTTCATTTCTACCTGAGGAGTCGTATCAGGGACCCTGTGGGAGTGACAGGAGGCAGCAAGAACACGACGGTGTACTATGAGCCTCTGGAGGCGACAGAGCCGTCGAACAACATCGGCTACATGAAAGTGAACAGCATGCAACTGTTCGGATACAGCGTGCATTTCGACCCCGAGGCTATCCAGGACCTGATTCTGCAGATAGACTACCCGTACACTCAGGGATCACAGGACTCGGCCCTGCTGCAGCTGGTGGAGCTGCGCTACAGGATTAACCGCCTCTCTCCTCCCGGGGCCCCACACGTGGATCTGTTCGCCTGTCTGCTCCGCCATAGACTCAAACTGTCCAGTGCAGACGTGACCGGGATACTCACTGCCCTGCAAGCTTTCAGTGCCAGACAACCAAACTACGAGGAGTACGAGGCGAATAAACTGTGTAGTTAGTTAATGGCCACTATTTGATGTTTTGTACTCTTTCCTTGCCAAGGACAGACCTGTATCCTTTGTCAGCTGGATCCATTTGTGTCAATTGTGTGATATGTTGTTCAAGGATGTGGTGTACATACACTTATGTGCAATTAAATGTGATGTTTTTATAATTTCAGTGTAGTTTTATGGAATAAAACCCCCTGAAAAATTTTCATTATAATAGGAAACATTTGTGACTTAATAAGCAACAATTAGAGACTTCACGTTTGGGAGACAAAACACCCAGAGGCACCATTTACTATTAGTTCAACATTTTATACTGTGGACAGTGTGGGTGTGATCAGATTTAAATGACAGTGGACTGACGACATGGGCAAACAACCTGACAACTGTCATCACGCTTTGATTTCAAATTTGCTAAACCCTGATCATGATCGATGCATTGACATGCGTGACAACACCTTTTCCACACTTGTGAGAACGATGACATGAAATAACCAAAACTGTCACAGAAAATATTGTGTTCGTGTACGAGCCCACTGCTCATAGTAAGAGGCTGAATGAGAAAATAACCTACTATTATCATTTTACAATTTAAATAGTTTTGCACATTGAGCTAGAACGCATCAAGATATCCTCATAGCCTTCCTAGTTATCTCACTGGAGAGTCGTAGTGGTGTGTGTGTGTGTTGCGTTGTTTTTGCCCATCTGGAGCCTCAGAACACAAGGTCTCCATTCTCCATTGAGGGAATAGCCTCGGCACAGATTACTAAGTGTATAGTGAGAGAAGGGAGGGTCGGAGCAGCCTGCCTCTGTTCCTCCGCCGTCCCCGTCCGCCATTCAAAATGACTGTGATAGATGAGCCGGAGCGCCACAGAGACAAGTCTAACATCAAACAACAGTATGCTATGGTATCAGTGACAAGGATAGTACTCTCGCCCAGTACCCGAGCGATTCGGACACTCAAAAGAGTGACTCAGACCAAAAGAGAAATCTGATTTAATCGCCCAAGGGACGTCGTCAGCGGAGCCACAGGCTCGCAGCATGGTGCGGCTTTGATTAGACTAGCATCTAAAGAGCTCGTAGCAAAGACGTAGTTTGATCAAGATTCACCTGACATGTTTCTCCTGAGATTAAATCCAAACAGAATTTGCTCTGATGCTATCGTTTAGAACGAATGTGAAAAGGTGGATGAGGCAGTTTTGATTGTGAGATGAGGTGCCGAGCACACTACTACCAGCACCCCTATACTGTCATCCAGATTGACTGTACAGTATGATGCATTATGCTGCAGCGGTACAGTAAAAGATCAGTTTAATCAGTTTATGTGGCACTGAGTGCAGTGGCAGAGTGGATTGGCAAACTAAGACATCACCTTTATGACGAGCATCTCCCATAGGCTGCTATTGAGCTTAAACATTGATTTTACAATTTGAAGACACAGCAGGGTTGTCCCCAGGCTGTAACAAAAGTATTTTACTTAGCTATCATATATCACAAGAGAATAGTGTTGGCAAGTTATCATGTTAGACTCACCTTATAAAATTCCTCTTTACAATCCTTTTTCTCCCATGCTCTTATTTTAAAAGTAATTTTACTTTAAAGCAGTTGATGCACTGGAAGTAGTTGCTGTAGTAATATTGAACATGCCAAAATCTACCAACCTGTATTGTGTGTTTTAATTGAGCGCAGGGGAATGTCTGTGTGTGAGAAAGATATTGAATCTGGATCACGTCCCAGCAAAGGGTTAAACAGTGAGCATCTGGTGTTGTTTTAAAATCTTTTTAAAAAGTAAAGATTCTGCATCTGGGTGGGAAAATGTGGTTCAGGGCAATTGGAAGCAGTCCAGACACGGGGAAGAGAATGAAAGAGTGTGTTGTTATGAGCGGCTCTGGTTTAGAAGTTCTAGTCTGACAAGGTTTTTTGATAAAGAAGGCATCGTCCTAGACTTAATTTACAGTTAATGGACTGAACACTTTGACAGAGGTTGTCTTTTTCACTTTAATTGATTTGGATAAAAATGAAAACTACATTAGCGTATTCCAATAGAAAGCATTTATACGGAAAAAAAGTAACGTTAAACTAAAGTTTTAGTGTCACTCAAGGATTACCATTAATTAGGCCCCAAAAGCATCTGAACAAACATTTTGAAGCCTTCACTTAGCTTCACTAAAGCCTTGAGGATTATGTGTACAAAGACAAACAGTCACGACGAAGGATCCAGAACAAACTTTACCACCATTTAAGCAACAGCTCAACATTTTGGGAAAGTAGTCTTAATCATTTTCTTGCCAATAGTTACGTGAGAAAATGTAGACCACTCTCACGTCTGTACGCTAACTACGAGGCGATTAGCTTCGTGTACAACAAAGATGAAACTAACGTGTTAGCATTTCAGTTATTACCAATAGAATGTAACAGGTTAAATAGTGATCTTTGCAGTTGCTGGTCGGTAGATTTTGTTACATTTGGACACAGTCAGGCTCGCCTTTTTCCTGTTTCCAGTCTTTATGAATAACTAAGCTAACAGGCTGCTAGCATTAGCTTTATATTAAGCAAACAGATCTTCTTATCTAACACTCTACTGTTCCTTTCAAGCTGAGATTGATATTTTAAAATGTATGCTAATAATTAAATAGCTTAATTTAATATGTTTTCAAAATAAACAATGTAAATATTTCTATAGTGCTTGCTTGTCTTATCTGCCCACTGAGGCCTGCTGCATTGACCGTCATATTTCACCACTTTTTTTTAAAACAAATGTCACAAATGGACAGCATTCACTTTTGAATATCCTCTTCATGAAGTCAGGAAATTATTAATAAGGAAACATACCCAGGGAACCATTCCTAAAAGGAGCAGTGACGAGCCAACAAACAACTAACAAGAGTTGATTTTTCAACAACGGCCATATTGTGAACTTGCTGTAGCAACTGGAAACAACAGGGACACTAATGAGAAAATCCTTAGGTTAAATTACCAAAAGATTTGATTGGAACAATAGGTCTTGCTCTGTTTATTTTGTCACTGATAGCGGTGTAATGGCCTGCTTCTGGTGTTTACCAGGAGCATACTGTTTGTGCTCATGCTGGAGCTGACTTGATCTGCTGCACAGGCCTGGATGCTGCAACACATCTGGGATGTTAGTTCTGCAGATTTAGTTCATCACACTGATGCTGTGATTTGGTTTTGCTTACAGTTGCTTAGCTTACCCTTGGGTAAGTCTCTCTATTCGATACCTCGGAATACTTTTGATGTGCTTGACCTCAATGCTTTTGAGGAACTTATATGCAGATACAGTGATGTGACTGCCTTCAAACTCCACTTGACCTGCAGAGATTTATGCATCAAAGACGGAGTTCCTCTTGGCGCAGATTAATCTGAATATACAGTATGTTGGGATGATATGTTAAGCTATACAGTATATCAGAATATTCTTTACAAGGTTCCTTCTTTATCAGGATATTTATATTTTTATTCAAGTGGAAAATTTGCATATGTTCCCCTCTGCTAAAGGATTCTGGGTCAAATCTTCTCCAGTTCAAGCCAAATAAATCAAACACACTTTGCTACTTAGAGGGAAAAAGAAAAAGATGCATACTACGAGAGGTTTTATCCGAGGGCAGAGCAGGAGTATAATGTGCACACACACACACACACATTTACTTGCACACACACAGGGCAGAGGCTGAGTGATAAGCAGGAGCTTTGGCTTGGCAGACTTGTGGGCCTCTGAGGAAACATGAGTTAGACTAATGTGTGTGTCTGTTTAACAAGCATGCTGGTGATGGGAGGCAGGGGCTCAGTGAAGGGGAAGAGTTTATGGAGAGGACAACCCCATGGGAGGCATCGGGAATAATAGCTGACGGTATGTCAGAACAGCCCAGACAGCTTGCTTTAAAAGCCACGAGGGAGACTGTCTTTGGGAACTAACCGTAGAGCATCGCTTCTTTCTACGCCTTTTTACGATGAACAGAGCACACAAAGGAGCAGGAAACAGGTTATTGATCACTGCATATATTTCACATTTGGAATTTAAATCACAAAAACAAATCTTTTTTATTTTTTTGGCTTTACATTTCCGAGACCACGTTTGTTCGCTTTGTGACCTAATTGGATGTCCACAGGTGCCATCAGTCCTGAATAAGAAAACATTTTGTCTACAGAAAATGCGGGTGGGCAATGGGGGCTTTTCTCTTCACTTGAAATGTTGTCTACTGAAAGCTATTAAAACCCCATTTAATTTGCATGAGGGCATGTTCATTTAGAAAATTATGAGTGGGGCTATGTTCTGCCAGCAGTAATAGGCGGTCGAATGTAGACTGGAATAATGATTAGACATCAAATAAGGTGACGCCAATCCAGCGGTGTAATACAACACTTGCAAATCAAATGAGATCCGACACACTGCTGTTTGAATACGGTCTCACGGCTCATGAAGATATCCAAAATAAACCTCATGATTGCTCAAGATCAGTTTGACTGATGGCTTTTCAATGCAACGCCGACATCTCTACACGTTCGTCACATTGTCAGTAATGCATCTGTAAAATGAAGGCATTCTCATGTCAAAAGTCGTAGTCATGTTAAGTGTTTCTCTCAGGATTTTACTTTTGACAGAGCGGCAAATCCTCTCAATCAGCACAAACTGCAGAGCATCTTCTGACACTAAAAATAGCACAAAATAACCGAAACTGATGGAATGATGAAATCAGTCAGCAAGGCTGTCAGGGGGCACTACGATATACATTACGTTTTTAAATAGGGAACAAATCACAAAAAACATAACTGACATTACGTTCATAAATTTCTGGTTTTAGAGAATTATGAATTAGGCCATAGAGGGAACTAAAGTAATAAAAACCCGATGACAACGACTGCAATAAAATATATGAAAATGGCAACTATTCACCCCATACATTTGCAAACAGATATATATTGGTTTGTTTTGCTACTCCAGAAGATTGTCCATTGTGCAAAAACAAAATGAAGTTACCGATTAGATGCTTCGGAATAATTCAGACCTGCCTATTTGCTCCCCACTAGCAGCCATAATCAACATCATCATCTTATTTCATTTTGAGAGCTGTGTGCTGCACAATAAAATGTTGGAGATCGCTTCCTCACCAAGATTAACAACGACAGAGGCTTTTGGATTTACATAAAGTCTTTTTTATAATGAGTAGTGCCGCTGCACCCACCTCCACACACACACACACACACACACACACACACACACACCGTACAAAAGCAATGTAACCAGAAGGTTGCAATTCTTCACCCTACGCTCTCATTATAGCCGCAGCACTAATGACGCAGTGAGGATCAAGGTGCTGTATGGAGATGAAAGAGGAGATGCGAAGGATTTACAATGCTTCCCAGATCACTGATAAAGCACAGCGTAAACAAAACTTTGCCTGGGGTTTGCACCACGAGGGAGATGGGATTTAGTCTCCAGATTCAGCGTTATCCTCTTTAAACTCGCGGCATTAGAGAGGCAGGGAGCAGAAATCCTGACGAGGCTCCGAAATGCAACATCTGAACAGAATCAGTGGGTTTGGATTTCCAGGGCTGGTACACAAGCGCCGCACAGTCTCTACTCATTATCCTACTGCCTGTGGAAACCCTGGTGCATCCTCTAAGTGGCTCTAGACCACAACATACTGTATAATAGTCCATTAATCTGTGACTAGGGAGCACCTGTCAGGGTGGAACTTGAGGATCCTTGAAGTGAAATAATACTTGATGACAATCATTCAAGGTCTCCATGGCAGTGTAACTGTAACTGTGATAGCACTCTGTTTTCCTCTGTGAATATCATACAGCCAAGTGAAGATATGCAATGTGCAGTAAGCTGTTAGAGAATATTTCATCATCTCCTTAACAGAAGCCACTATCTTCGCTGCCATCTCCAGCTGTTACCCCTTCAAATGTTTACCCCCCAAAACTTCCCAAAACCCACACGCAAGCTACTTTAATCATAGACACAGTTTTCTCTTTCTTAAGGGGATAGTATAATTGCATCAAAGACCAACTAATGTAGCCTCATTTAGGAAAAGTCCTAATGCCGGGGCAGCCGATGCTGTTGCTGTTAATGGTTATATGAAGCTACACAAACCACAGCGCATATTTGTCCCAAATGGTGATTTCAACTGACAGCCTCATATATTCAATGTTATTAATATTTCAAATCATAAACAAACAATTAGTTCTGTTCATTTATTCAGCAGTGTTGGGTGACACCTCTGAGCCTGGCAGCCGTTTCAGTGCTCCCAGATCACATTAATCAAACTGGGGCTGACTCGTGCAAAAAAATAAAAAGGCATCCGGAGACCGTTTTGCGATTAAGAGAGAATAAGTTCTCTGATAAAAGCAGTAGGAATCAGCACTTTTGGCCAGTAGGGACTGTTGCAAAGCAGAAGCTGCCATAACTGGACAAACAGCAATCTCACAGCCGAGAATCCCGCAGCCAATTATTGGGAGGAAACTGGCATATCCAAGGACAGCTCCAAAAACCTCAGCTGGATGCAGTAATTATGTCTCAAAATCACAATGCACCTCATCTCTCCGAATGCCATTCACCAGCCGAATAAATAAACTGATGACAATATACACTATTGATTGGTTAGATTAGATTTATATGTCTGCCATTGTAGTATTGAATGTTGTCGTAATCCCAGTCCGAGGCTCAGCATGTTTGGAGCAGAAGGGAGCGCGGTGAATGTTTCTGATGACTAAGCCAGTGACTAAGCTCACCTCAAGTGAAAATAATCTACCTAACTAAATGCTTTTTGAATGTTGTTGTGTCTTCCCACACTAAGCTGTCTCTTCAATTAAGAAGGAATCCAGCAAAGTTCAGCAAAGCCAGGTTGTCTGCGTGCAGCAGCCGAGAATTCAGCTTTACTGGGTCACAGTAAATCCAGTCAGATGGTCACATCACATCTTTTGCTTGTGGACCGAGGAAGGCCACTGAGCTTTAGTTCAGCAGCACGCACCGAGTCACACACGCACACGCGCGCACACACACTCACACTCTCACACACACACACACACACACACACACACACACACACACACTGACAAACCGGCTTGAGATCACCTGAGGAAGGGTAGAGAGATGAGAGCACCAGCTTTTTTCCTCTTTTAATATGTTGCCTTTGCGTTCAATTAAAAGATACAAAAACAGCCATGCCAGCTGCTCCGCTGTGCTGGACATACTTTCTTTCTTTGAGCCATATGCTAATGTCACTTATGTTTATTTATAAGGGTGGGGAAAAAACGTTTCACTCAAGTATCGACAGTAAATTATATTTCTTAATCCATTGTTTGATGCTTTTTACTTCTTTGGGGTTTGGCTTGCTGAAAATAATCCTGATAATGACTGATACACTACATGCAGACACACAATCAAGCATTTCTTACTGTATCAATTTGTAGATATTCCAAAGGAAACATTTCTGCATTGGGATGCCATGAATCTTGAGATGATCTTGAGATCATGTTGACCAGAAACATACACTGGCAGAATAGCATGCACACATGGTCTGTGCGTACATTGCTAGCTAGCTTTCGAGAATAATTTGAGGTGAAAATATTTTTCAATTTCTGTCTGAATAGAATTTTAGTTTAGCGTGTTAGCATGCTAATATCACTGATCAGCAAACTTGCGTATTATGATTCATCTTGATGGGAACATGAATGTTTATCAAATTTTACAGCACATCAAAACCACAAATATCAACCTTATGGTGGCATTAGATGAAACCAAAGAGGGATGCAATGTCTGGGAACCTTAATGTCTGTGCAAAACTGTGTCTCAATCCATGTAGATGTTGAGATATTTCACTTAGGGGAAGACTTGGACCTGCTGGAGGCACTAGGTAAAAAAACCAGGTGATCGCCAAAGTCGGTAGGAGTCATCCGCTGGAGAACATGAATTTCTACAACCACGCGACTAGCATGGTTATTAAAAATAAAACTGACTTGATGTGCCTCGACTTCAACAACAGACAGACAATCCTAGATATGAAACTTCCTTCCCCTCAAATGATTTCAGCTTTCAACACGTAAAAGAAACTGGAGCTCCTCACATTGCTTTCTGTCACCATGCGGAGCAATTCTTCACACACCCCCATGCCCTTGTTATGCTGCATTGTGAGCTTGGCATTCGACGCCTTCACTCCTAATTTCCACACACATTCATCAGGCACAATAACGAGGCTAATTTCAGGGCAAATAATTGTCACCTGCACGTGTCCCTCACAGTGAGTGCTGTGTCTTTAATGACTCCAAACACTGCAGCGGGAAAGTGGCAGAGTTTTCTTTGAAAGTGAATTCTGTCTTTCCTCCCACAGGTAAATGTGCCTGTGCTATGAGCACAGGCACATTTTTTCAGATGATGATGATGAAAGAGCGCTTCAAGTCTGCTTGGAGATGAAAGAGATGTCTGTGCTCCTCTCTGGATTCATTACTCTCAATTCAGGTGTCTCTTACACACTCCTCTCCTCCGCTATACATTCCTTGCACTTTTCCATCCTCAGCCTCACACCCCAGTCGCTATTCAAACCCCCCCCCCCACTCTGCTGTCAGATCCCACTCGCCATGGCTTAATAAAGTCTTCTTCACCCAGAGATGTCCACTAATAGGATCACAATAATGCTCCAAGTCCTTTGATGGGAAAATTGAGACAAATCGGTTGAATTTCACAGAGGTGTGTTGTATTGCGCCGCCTTTCACTAACTGATATCCTCGTGGCGAATCTCACTGTCAACATTCAGGGATTCAACAGACTAGTGAATGCTTCGTAAAACACACCAATAAATTGAAGGTCACATCGGTTTGGATGCTTACATTTTGGTTTATTTCCCACCAGCAGGAAACAGGGTTTGTTATAAATGTGTTTTTTTTCCTGCTCGACACCTCTGAATTTGTAAAGATGGACATGCTGGGGAAATTGGAACGGTTAGATGGGCCAGGCTGCTTGTCGGCTATTTCTCTCTGTGCTTTGTTTTGTTTCCTTGTTTTTTTTTTGTGAATTCCATCGTTATATTTTCTGACTGACTGCTCATCAGATCTAGGTTGGCTCGTCTCTGTAGATTTCTTTCAGACAGGCTCTTGTGATGAAGGGCTGTACTGTATAAATAACTCTGACTTCCAACTCATATACTTTGTAATTGTGTTGCATATATACAATATTAAACTTGGCACATCGCAGTTTGTGAAGTAGCGAGTTTCCACCAGGCTGGTATTGAAGGATGCTGAAGAGAGAGATAACGTAATGAAGTATTCAATTCAATCTCTGTCTGCAGTGCATGTTGTGCCATCGCATTGATATGACAGATAGTGAAAACAAATTACAGGGAACAATGCTCCGGAATGAGAGTCTACCTGATGGTGTAACCTAACGTTGTTAAACCGTTAGTCATCCTGATTGACTGTCTGACAGAGGTGATAACCTCGTCTCTTCTCGATCTGTCACTGGCGATTCTCCTCATGTGGCCCACTTGTCTCCCGGCAGCAAAGGAGAGAAGAAAAGAGAAGCGAAGAGAAAAACAGAGGAGGAGCGAAGGCAGCGCTAGCTCTCAAAATACCAACATCTGTCTATTTCACGGATCATAAAGCATCAAAGACATGAAGGGTGACAACGACAGGTCCGACCAGAAACACCGTCCTGATAAATCCTCCAGAAGATGACGGAGTGATTCAGGAATATTATCCTAAATTTTGTGGCCTGTACGTCCCCCTAGAAGTCTTAGATGAGACAAATGAAAGTCAAGGAAATAATGTGTTTTGAGGTGTCATGGACTGTGTGACTGTCGAGAATGAAACCCACAGAACTCACTGTAAAGTAACTCACACATTCGCAGTGATGTATGGAAAGTTATATAGCATATAACTCCTCTAACTGGCAAATCTGTATTTAGCTTTTTTGTAAAAACTCTTTAATTCACATGTATGTATATAATAAATTGTAATTGGTCACATTTGCACCTGGACAACCACAGTCTTACAGTGACAGTGACAGAGACTACAGGATAGTAGTAATCTTTTCATTTCGGATCTGTAAATGTGTGTAATCCAGGCTGAGAAAATAGCTCTAGTGGAGAAATGTTTCTTTTTGGAGAAGGAAAATGTGCAAAATAAGCACACGTGTAAAATGATTAATTACATTACACTTCTCTCGCAAAGCCAAAAACAGAAGAACAAAAGCATTTGGGAGTTTTGCCTTACTGTATCGCATACTTGTTAACTCATGAGCCTCAAAACTCCCCGCATACTGTAGACCTCCAGTAGAGCTTTGAGACACTTCCGGGAAGTTACATAAACTCCTCCCTGTAGGCCTGCCAGCGTTTCCCTCCAAACTCCAAAAACAAATAACAGAGTTGAACAAAGAGATGTGAGGTAAAATAAGGACGTTTTACCCTTAAAATCTGATTTAATATTTCATGAATTTCTTTGAGCGTTAAGTGAATTCTATCCATGTTTAGGTAAGGGCTGAAGATGTGCCTCAATACCAAGTTTAGGGATCGCTGTGGACTCTTGTTACCGGACTCCAGCTCTCTGATGGTACATTTAAAAGGGACAGTTCACCCCAAAAATCAAAACTACATAGTTTTCCTCTTCCCTGTGCTGCTATTTATCAGTCTAGATTGTTTTGGTGTGAGTTGCCAAGAGGTGTCTGCTTTCTCTAGAATATAATGGGACTACATAACACTCAGCTTGTGGTGCTCAAAGTGCCAAAAAAAAAAACATTTGAAGAACTCAACAGCAATGTCTCTTTCCAGAAATCACGAGCCGGTTACTCGAGATAATCCACAGACCTTGTTTTGAGCAGTTTTGAGTCTGAACTATAGTCGAAATAAAATAGTTCCTATGGCCGATACCTCCAAAACTTGGCAACTTGCATCAAAACAATCTAGACTGATAAATAGCACTACAGGTAAGGTCATTTTGGGGTGAACTGTCCCTTTAAGGACCATCAAAAATGTGCATCACCTCATGTTCCCACTGTGACCTTCTCTACCTTTTCCAGGTGAGTCTTTATGGAAGCGCACATCCCGTTATGAACTGGGAGAAGTACTTCTGGCTACAGAGGAGACTAAATTGAATACTATTTTAATTAAAAGCAATGACTGATTGGCTATTAT